TGTATATATAAAAAATATATCAAAATGCATGTAGGTACTCAAATGAAAGCTCTTGATAAGTGTAACATCGGGATGAGCTTATATCTTTAAATACATCAATGTTTACGAAAATACAGTGCAATTTAACAAAAGTTCTTCAATAAACCAAAATTTTATTTATTTATAGTTCACAAATCACGGAAGTCACATAGTGACTTCAAGATTGTTAGTTATTAATAAATTAATTATCGTATAATCGCTGTAAGATTTATTTTCTCTCAAGAATTCATGATAATATTCTCAAATTTTTTTTATTATCGATCAAAAATATTTAGTTGAAAAATGAAACTGTTTAAATTTTCCAGAAAATCAATTTTTTACAAACATTGACTAATTTTTCTTTCTCTTTATAAAAAGACCACTTATATAAAAAAAAAAAAAATGTAATAAAATTAATGACAAGTTGCATGTGTACGCTTCATAAAATATTCTAACAAATGTATAAAAAATATCATCTCGTATTTTACACAATATTACTTCCCGTTAAAATCCTCTTTTACCTCATTTCTTATTTTATTTTATTCCAACACATTGAAATTTAAAACTAGAGAAAAAACACACGGCAAATTGGTCACACCCACACGGCAACCGCGTGTTAAAAAGTTTCGAGTCCTCTAAAGTCCAAGATAACACGACCCTGAAGACCCAAAGACCTTCTAGCACGTTCGAACCACTCAGAACTACCATTTTATTGCTGCTCCTTTTCTTCCTTTTCCTTTTTTTTTAAGTTAAGAGATATTTTATCTTCAAACGTTATCCTTCTGTCTTTACAAACAATCCTGTGATGTAATCTTTAAAAAAAATATTTATAAACATTCTCAAAAATTTAAATTTAAATAGAAAATTTTTTTTTTTATTTGCATTAAAAATATTCATTAGAGTGTAATTATTTAATTGAAATGATTTTTAATTAATGATATTTAGTGTCGACAGTTAACTAGAGCATAAATTTTAAATTATTAATAATAATGGTATATTAATATCTATTGTTATAATTTTTATTGTCAGCGACGAGATTACGGACCAATCAGAAGATTTCTAAAAGATAATGCTAAAGGAAGGGGAAAGGGCACGGTTATTGGATAAAATAGCCTTTTATATTATTATAACGGCGTAGTCTGACAATAGGTGATTTTACAACTCAGGCTGACTTAATACGCTCTTCTCTACTCGAATACTAACAAAGGACTGAATTTTAGGAGCTCATTACTTTATTTTTTTCTATTTTCAGTTTATGGAAATCTTTATTAGCCATCTTGATAATTTACTACGGGTTTAAAAGGCTTTTGAAAATTTAATACTAACTGGAAGTAATCGTTTTGAATAATATATGAAAAAATTTATAAAAAAATTCTTTTTGTTAAAAAAATTGTTTGTTAATATACAATTGAAAAAAATTTTTTGTTAAAAAAATTTATTCTTTAAAAAAATTCAGCGCCATTTATTGAGAATAAATTTAATTGACATGACAGATTTTATATTTTATATAAAAGTGTATTCTATTGTAAAAATGAATCGCAAAAATGTAATACATTCTTTTTAAATGTGATGTAAATTATTATTTCTAATTAGAAAAATCATTCAAAACTAGCACTACATAACTGCCGTGACTTGTGAACTATAAATAAATAAAATTTTGCTTTACTAAATAATGGCATTTGTTAAATTGCACCGTACTTTATTAAATATTGTTAATTTTAAAGATACAAGCTCATCTTGATGTTACACTCATCAAGAGCTTTCATTTGAGTACCCACATGCATTTTCATATATTTTTCATACATACATATATATAATATATATAAATATATGAAAAATTGATGTGGGTACTCAACTGGAAGGTCTCGATGAGTGTAACATCGAAATGAGCTTATTTCTTTAAAAATGTCAATCGTGCACAAGATACAAGGTCATTTCTTAATTATTGATATTTTTAAGGACGTAAGCTCATCCTGATATTACACTCATCTAGAGCTTTCATTTGAATACCCACATGCATTTTGATATATTTTTCATATATTACATATATATAATATATAAAATATATGAAAAGTTGATGTGGGTACTCAAATGAAAGGTCTCGATGAGTGTAATGTCGGAATGAGCTTATATCTTTAAAAATGTTAACAGTTCAAAAAACGCAAGGTCATCTTTTAATTACTGATAATTTTAAAAATGTGCACAGAAAAAAAGGTTCACTTGAGCCAAGAAATTATTCTTCTTCCTACTTATTTTCTTGAGCAAAAAAAAATTTTTTTGACACAGAATTACTTATTTAACAAATTAATCTCTTGCTTAAGAAATACGTATCTTGATCCAAGAAAATTTATTTAAGTCAAAAAAGGTACTCAAATGAAAGGTCTCGATAAGTCTAACATCGGGATGAGTTTATATCTTTAAAAATGTCAATCGTGCATAAGATACAATATCATTTCTTAATTACTGAAATTTTTAAAGATAATAAGCTCATCCTGATGTTACACTCATCAAGAGCTTTCATTTGAGTACCCACATCAATTTTTCATATATTTTATATATTTAAGTATATGAATATATGAAAAATTGATGTAGGTACTCAAATGAAAGGTCTCGATGAGTGTAACATCGGGATGAGCTTATATCTGTAAAAATTTCAATAGTTCACAAGATACTAGATCATTTCTTAAATATGTATCTAAAGATAATTTTTGAATGCAGCCTAAATACTCATAATAAATATTAGACTATAAAAATTTTTCTTATTCCCTTAATAATAACAATAACAAAATTTACGATGAAAAAATGTTTCTTTAAAACTTTGACCGTTGAATTTTCAATGAATATTAAAAACCCATGGGATAAGATTTTATTATACATATACACAAAATTTTTTTTTTATTTTTTTATATATTAGATCTGTTTAGTAGTTTATCTAATGCAAAATATGGATATGGATGCTCTGGTGTTCAAGTTTGCCTTGTCTATGTGTAGGAAAATAAATTCATGAATCTATTCTGTTGGAAAAGCCAACGAGTACGCGGGTAAAATCATAAACGGATGAATGAGTTAGCATAGAGGATACGATAGTACATATATGATATATCTATATATCTCTATCTATATCTATATGTAATGTATATAGTGTAATGGGATTGAAGGAGCCAAGCTGTTGAAGGAATAGCAGCATATCTGTATACCTATATAGATAATCCAAATTATATATATATATATATATATATATATATATATATATATATATA